GCATAAGTATGGTCACTTACACGACGCTGCGGCCTACACAATGCAGACTCTTAACTGATACCAATACCGCCTTGTCTCATAAACCAATATTGACTTCTGTGGAATTCTCAAGAATAATACGTCTAGTTCTGTAAGATAAATGAATGCGATAGTTGGACTAATATAGTCTAGACTCCCTTCCTGATGATGCTCTGTGATTCCTTCTTCTTGATGACATTTGAGGGAAGAAGAAATTTGCTCTCAAAGTCCGCACGACATTATTAAATCAAAGAGTGAGAATTGCTTCATTTTTTATTTAGTCATCCTTATACAGGTATATTAAACGGCCAAGAAAGTAATCAATCATATTTGCAGACTCAGCAAAGCAATGAATCATATATATTCTTTGGTTATACCGACCTTTACGACAGCCGAACTCAGATGAAGAAACAATATATCAGATATAATTCCTTGGTCCATTCGCTAGCTGTAGTTACGTTGCAGACCAGATATACCCTGCAGCTACTATTTTTGACGCGTCAAATGTTTTCTATTTATTCTGTTTATGTGCAAAAACATCTGATCTGCATACTAGTTATTATTGTTGAGAAGACAGCATTGTGAACATTATTATGCTGAAGTGGTGAAAAGTCAAAACTATATTTACAACACCTTAGCTGTAACATCACATAGACTCTATATTCCATTGGCACATTGGACTGGTTTCTTTGTTGGGAATGAGTCTTCGTTTTAGTCGCTTTTCAGCATATCAAGATCGGTGAATTACGTGTGTGTGTGCCTACACGAAAGATACTTTACCAAGGCCTTGGGTCGAAATACATCTCGTGTGCAGGCGTTTTGTAACATAAAAACAAGTCATCCATTTTGCTTCACTAGTTGTAATGTTGTAGATTTTTTTTTTCTGAATAAACAATAAATGTCTTAGATTAGACATAGAAAAAAGTCCAATCTGGTGTGCTTTCAGTGTGTGCTTGCCAGCGTGTTCTCTATTCATATTGCGAGTTACGAAAGTTAAAGTTTCCTATTGGATGCCCATTATTCTATTGCAATTTCCGCCCTACTAGTCTTAGATTCGATGTAACAGTTTCCACGGTCCAACTGTCTACACTCGGCTCGTCTGGCCATACGTAAATCAAGTGGGGATTCGCCAGACTGTCTATATTTTGGGGTTGGAAGTTTTTATCAAATGATGTCAACATTTGGATCGATTTTCTGACAAGTTCGCTTCACAACCACCCCTAAGTATCCCGGGGGATCTATTGTTCCAGACCCGGCGACTAGCACTTGTAGGGAGACCATTATCCATCCTAAGCTTCGCCAGAAAGATCTTCTGTTGTTTGGTGAAGGACAATACAAAGAGAAACCTCCATAATTTGCTGCACATAATGCAATTAATATCCGTTTTACAAAACCAATTTTCAACTTAGCATGGCATCAGCTGATTAAAGTTTGGTTATTTTGGAAACGTGTCAAGCTCCATCCCGTACTCTGTATTTACTTTAGTTAATAGATGTATTTAGATATTCCAGAAATAGAATAAAGTGTTCTATTCGTAATGAATACAAATAGAAATTCGATATATATTGGATCCCGACGTTTCCCAATGTACAATTTGAATCTCATTTTGATGCCTCCGTCAGCGCTGATCGTGTTGTGTCATTAAAACTCTTCAGGTTAGATACAATAAAGGGAAACGACAGCTAAGTTGCTGGTCACAATCACCTACACAGGATTCAGTGCACACAGCTACGATTAACAGGGCTACAGTTTCAAATGCCATGTTTTCTTGCAGAGATATATTTTTTAAGAACAATGCATATGCCCTTTGGTGGTAACTGAGGAAACCTTATTAATTAGGAAATAGAAATTGGAGATCAATCGTATGTCTTTAGCAGAAAACATGATCAAATTCACTGTGCCCTTAGGTAACGTATGAAAACCAAATAGGCTGTAACCTGCCGTCTTACTGTGGCACCGTCTTACACGGGTATACAATATGCTGTGTGCAACTAATCATATCTAACTTGAGAGCACACCAGTGTGGTCCTCTCCAGGACTGATCAACCACAGAAAAAGTAATTCGTGTACCGTGAAGCCAGCCAGTTTTCCCCTCTACAGATACTTAGCTATTACAGCTCTCAGAACAGCGAACCCCTTCAGTGGCCTCGCAGTCGCGGAAATACAGCAGATTCCTCGTTGGCTTCTTCAGTAGAGTTTGCTCATCGAAGTTCATTTCATATATTGTAAAGAAGTTTTTTCTTATCGATAGACTATATTGTATAACACGAATATGATTTAATTGTTCAGTTCATCACACTGATTTACAGTATATGAATGAAAACCGTATTTATACAACTAACGGCCGTTGATAGGGAATTATAGTCATTGTGTGCAGCAGATGTGCGTTGGCTTTGGGGAAGCAGATATGTCGAATTACCAAAATGTTGTTCTTATGTGGAGAAATCTCCGAGTCCATTATTTGGATGTATCTCTTAATGTCGTTTAACAATTGCTGCGCCATTATCCAAATAAATTGTATGTCGTGTGATTAGTAGGAAGTATGCGTTTTGCGAACTTAGGGTTCCTCGATATATGTGCCCTGGATTAAAGCAGGTTTCAGGATTTTCAGTGATCCACCCATAATGTCAGCAGCTAATGACGGATAATCGAAACCGGTTAGTCTCTGCCGTTGACGCTATATAGTTCTATATATTTCCTATATGACTCTAAACTGGAAACTGGATGTACCTGCAGCCGAAACGTTTCATCTGAAACCCATTTTCATCTTTTATTGAAATATAACGGCACCATTGCAGACGGAGTAGTGGACATGAATATAACAGGCTGCTGATGTTTAGAGGAAATCTCTTTGCACTTTCATGGTCATTGTCGAGATTGCCCCTGGTATGTGTCGTGGTATTTGGAGATTTTTGACAAGAACCTTTGAGGTCTTTTAATGTAATTACAACCATTGACAGTTGATGGGCACAAAGCTGTGAATGTCGAAGATGGTAAAAGCAAAAATTCCGATCAAAATTAGTCGTAAATGATTGTGAGCACCTTTGCTGGCACCGGGACAGCCAGAGTCTATTGATTAGGACTGAGCTTTCAAGACTGCTTACAATCTAACTCAGAGGTGAATTTCAGACTGAAACTTCCAACAAGAGCCAGAATTTGTCTTAATTAAAGTAACCTTACGGTCCCGTTGATAGAGGGTATTGATTGGACACAAAGAAGCAATTGCGATCGAATTCACTCGATAAGCAGACAACTTTCGCAAGATATAAAATCTTCAATCTGTACGATATTCGACTCTATAGTCTGTTTCTGACGACTCTGCCCGCAGAGGAAACATGTAACGTGAGTTGCCTGCTGTATTGATTCTGCCACTCTCCAGGAAATAAAGTGCATCAATTAGTTCACATGCTGTTGTTGTGATCACGTTTAACTCAGATGCAACCCAAGTGGCAATTTAACATTACCAATATCATGACGGTGAATCAAGTAAAACATCGTTGTTTGTTTACAAAAACTGAGAACGGCGTTGCTTGACACAGCGAGATTCTTACTTTTCGAGTCACCCGACAACTCAGAACGACGGGTCAACAGGCGGAGGCGCAAAGAAATAATTACTTACCTATTATACGCTGCTGAACATACAGACGTTTTAGTTACAAACCTGCTACCGTTGCGTGACGGAACGTGGCTTTCTTAAAAACTTAACTGTCAGATTCCATCTGTGTTGGCTGAATGGATGTAACTTGTTTTCATACATGACATGTTCAATGTAGATATCACCGACAGTCGCATCGGACCAAGGAATCTGATACGTTGTGGTCTTACAAGATCTAAACGCAGCAGTTGTTTAAAGTTGCAAAGAACAAATAACCACGTCCCTCGTGTCTGTCCGTTTCTGCAACAAATAAGATCCATGCCGATTTATTCCAAACTGGGACTACAGTTGATTCTAATGACCCAAGCAGTAGGAACTGTCTTCTCGGATAGCATATTCTCTGTTTCCACAGAAATTTATCTGGTCTATTATTCCCTTCATGAATCCTCCCCCGAGATGTCGACTATTCCAGTCTATGTCGATTATCATGTTAAGGATATAAGTATGCAATTGATCCTAAAAAACGTCAGGTCCTGTTGCTGGGATAATGAACTGGTTGCTATGTGCCTTTCACATACACTTTACCTACGCGCGAGTGATTTAAGAAAACCTGTCTGTAACCGGTATCACTGACTGTTGGACTGATGCAGGCACCTGGTACAGTGTCCACTCTACTGTAAGGTCCACACTTTTCTCGAGTAAAATTCCACACCGTCTATTCACTTCTCGAGTAAAATCCCACACCGTCTATTCACTTCTCGAGTAAAATCCCACACCGTCTATTCACTTCTTGAGTAAAATCCCCCAAGATAAAAATGCATGATGTCCAAATCTACGTGTTACCTCTGCATCAGAATCTACAGTTTAAAACGATTATCGATTGATAGATCATTAGATTACCATGTTACCATGAGGTAGATGAAGACAGCAAACCGATAGTGCAGATTCTGCTGTGTACACTCCATTAAGCTGCCTTCACAGTTACACAATGTCCAGGAGATTCATCTAAACGTCCTAATGCCTACATTAATATCTATAACAGTTTCAATATTTTCTTGGATACTATTAGCTTCGTTTCGGCATAAGATTCTATTTGAAATAGTAATACACACTCAACTTGTCGGTACGTAGTGCCCGGTAGTGTATGGTAGAGGGGGTATCACTGCCAGGTCAACTGTGCTGCTTTATCTAATGCAGCCTAATGTAGTGCTGGTTTATTTAGTCGGCCCGATAATACGTTGGTAGCCCATTTCATACCAGAGATCAAATTTGCAGTATTGCTATTTCACTTCAGTACGTTTGTCTTTAACGCTACACTGTAGCGCATTTCCATTCACTGGCAACAGTATGACAGCATCTTAATTTACACTTTTTTTATTTGTTGTAGCTCGAACGAACAACGAGAAAAGAGGTAAGATTACTTCTTTGTAAATATATTCAGAATATACATTAATTTCACAAAAAAATATTGTAATTCTGTGAGACGTGGCTATTGTTGAGAAACGTGCATTTATAATAATTGAAACAGCACCTTTGTGAAAAAGGTCTACGCGCCAGCCTAGCATAAACCGACCTCAACACCGCGGTCGGGATTTTTCTATTTTGAATTCCAATTTGCATTCCAAACATAATTTGAGTGAAAAACATTTCTTCTCTTGTCGCATTTGGTATTGTAAATTGCTCTTATGATCTGACGTAAGATGATTCCATGTGATGTCATTAACTCCTTCAGGAACTGTATTATGCAAATAATCAAATCTGTACACATTTGTAAATTTCGACCACAAAAAGTCACATGAACGCAACAGTATTTGTGGGTTGTAGAGAACTGTTTTGCACGTATACGACTGTGTTTCAGATATGAATGATGACAAGCCCAAGGGTTCAGGCGCTGGAACCACGTGTGCTTCATGGCAGGACATTGTGTGTGTGACGCTGTTTGCAGTGATACTCATCCTCAACCCGAGATGATGACAGTAGTTGGCAACAGAGAATATGTGTGGAGTAATACAGTCTCTTGCTGAATTCACAGATCGAGATATTTATGTTTGTATGTGGGGCAACTATGTCTGCTGTTATCGTGTGTTAAAACGAAGGCCTCTGGGTACAACACTGGGAGCCTGGGTGAGCAGGTTTCATCGGAGAGACCTGGGTAATCGGCAAACTCGGAACACTGCCAAATACACTTGAAGAATGGACGAGCAGGGGGACCACAACACGTGGAATGGCGGAAATTCAAGATTAGGAGTTCTTCCGTATTTGTCTTGACAACTTTCTAGTTTTAATAGTTGGCCGACGTGGCTGAACGCCACCACCGCTGATAAAGACAATTAAAGATTCAGCGAGTGGTTCTCCGAGATATGGAGAAGGGTTCTACCCCATGCATCGGTATTTTAGTAGTCTGTTGAGATTCACCTGCTGATATGGCTCGATACTGCCACATTCTCTTTCATCGAAGTGCGCACGCAGGTGGCCGCCATCTTGTGTCGTTGAGGAACTACGCTGACAGACGCTGTAGAGAGCTGATGTACATTTTGCGAAATGAAATGAATATGGTGATATACGATTCGTCATGAAAGCATGTTGCATGCAGTGTTCAGGAGTAAGGATTTACGGGTCAGCGAGAGTGTACAAGGAGACGCTACAAAGAATCTCTATTCCATGAAATCAAGAAGTTAGACTGGCATCCTGCAACCTGTCATAACATCACTGGTTCCAATTCTACTTCCGGCATTATAAAGATCCATCATGGACTTGAAACTTAATTAATTAAATATCATATGCTTTAGTTACTATAATTTAAATTTCTTAATTTCCGACCAGGTGTCGTGAGAATGTATAATTCATGTATTAATTATTGTTTCCATCTAGCTATTTCCGACCAGGTTTTTTTTATTTAAGTACGATGAATGATATATGAATTTTTCACGTACGTTCTGATATTGACTAACAAGTACCACTGGAAAAATCTAAATAATTAAACACATTCGTCCAGTTATTTCGGACCATGAAAGTTTTCCGTTAAAATGTAATCAATGTTTTAGTGAAGGCGAATAGTTGTTGTATTGACTGAACATAGTGCTAATTTACTGATGCCCGATACGTTGTAATTGCATCCACCAGAAGGCGTGTTGGAATCGATAGAAGTGTCAGGAGCCGACCACAATTGAAGTTCTACTTTGCAATCGTGTAATAATTACTTGTAGCGTCCAACCTGGCAGCATGTTATGCTGAGACCAACGGTCCGAGCACTCATATAGAGCACATTGCGTGATGTCATAGTAGGTATGAGTGTGAAGGCATGTTGTAATTGACTGATCTGACACGCATCCAGGAAAACTGTGGAAATGATGCAATACAGTTGTGACGCTGCCTCTCAAAGCTCAAGCTGCTATGTATATGCGTCTCTTTCCGAACCCGGAAACTTTTTGCAGAGAGAGAGAGAGAATTATTTTGTTATTGTGTCACGCAAATGTTTACTTAATATATAAAATCTTCAATATCACATATAAAACATCTGCCTCTATACACATAGTAAAACTTAAAGAAAAAGTGGGTGGTGTAATATCATACGTTATAATGATTTTCTTCTTTTAAACATAAGTAACACTGACGCAGCTAAGGGATATACTAGATTGCATCATTCTGCTGTGTAAACATAATGCCTTTTTGGCGCCTCAGAAAACATACATTCACCGTATCTGACTTCGTTTCCAGCAAAAAGTCCCCATTACTCCCCCTGGTCCAAAATATGGCATCTAAATGAGAGCTATTAAGGCGTTGCACCTATAATTAACCTTTATAAAACCGCCACATTCTCTCAGTATGGAATTTGTTATGTGATAGTAATGGAGAGCAGTATCTAATGATGAAGGTTGAAATGGGTCATAACAGATAACGTATCAGTGAGACCCGATCCCAGCTCACAGTGCAGTTGGGACTGAGGTTTGAAGGCAGTTGACTGCGTACAGGCACGACGTGTGCTTTGACGACAGTAACATGCACTACGAAGCCTGTGGACACTTCAGGCATCAACAATCAAATACTGATGCTGTACCTTTCCTTGTTTAGCATGAAAGGATGGAATACCTCCCCAGCTAAGAAGGAAACATCAAGGTTGTAATTCAACGGGTGAGATTTTTATCTTTGTTAGATATTTAGATGGTTAGTCGTCACTCGCTTAAGCCTTTAGGTCAATCGATGTGAAATGGCGGATAAGTTGGCGGCAGAACAACGATTAAAGTGTAGCACATCTACGTCAACCCATAGCACGTGCTAACGTCCCGGATGAAGATGAACTTCAAAAGGCAGCAGACGATGTTCCGTCGAGGTACGGAAATACCATGTGTAGCGGAATGTCGTAAAGGCGACGTTTAACGCCTTTAACGACGGTGCAGTGAGCAGAACATAACACGGGAATTGGTGCAGTGCCGGGCAGCACTAACTGACATTTTAATGGACTGGCAACATTATCAGCTCATCTACATGTAGATGCACAACTGTTACTTAATGTTTTCTTTATGATGTAAGACATGTTTAAACTGAATGAGTCATATTACACGTGGAAGCTGACAGGTGAGCATGATCACTGGACAGTCGTACCAGGAACTTCAATCAGGGGATTCACATACAGGTGTAATAACTGCACATCACCTTAGACGAAAATATTTGAATATCCCTGATTTATTTAGGTTCTCGTTCTAATATCGAATTGTTTTCTGAGCAATACGGATGGGAACTATTATTGTCAGTGTAATTTGATTTTATGAAACATCATTTATACGCATATATCCTCTCATGTGTGCATGTGCGACCACTCATCTACAGGTAACTTGCTGACTGTCTGTCAAACAATGTCATTTGTCCTCTTTAATGGAAATTATACCTTAATGCGAAAAAAAGTTTGTATTAAATGTGGGGCGGTGGGGTAGCCTAGTGGTTAAAGCGTTGGCTCGTCACGCCGAAGACCCGGGTTCGATTCCCCACATGGGTACAATGAGTGAAGCCCGTGATATTGCTGGAATATTGCTAAAAGCGGCGTAAAACCAAACACAGTCAGTCAGTCAGTCAGTCAGTGTATTAAATGTTACTGTTTGTGCTGAAACGCCTTCATGATATGGAAAAGAGTTTTTCGGAGAATACCTTGTGTGTCATAGCTCAGTGTTTGGAGCTCGGGCATGTCATCCATCTTGTGTTTGGAAATGATATACAATTTTAACTTATATTATGATGCTATTGTCCAAGGACTCCTACACAGTATGGCACTTGACATAACGTTTCATTGTTCTGCATGAATAGATTGTCATTAAAACATTGCACTGACACTGGAAGAACCGACAGTAATGAATTTGTAACGTTTCGGTACGCAAATTGTGGCTCATATTTTACATTCATGTACACACACACAAAACAATGAATAAAAGACATATTTCTAAGCCCATTACTCTCGCAGTTGACAGTGAACAAACTGGTCCCGGCACTGTAAAAGTATTAGAGATTGTAAGTGCCACATGTTGCGGGCACATGCTGTATATTATTGTATATATAATACACTTCAGCGACCCCGATGAATATACCCTGCTTTGTGTATTTATTTCCGTTTCCACTGGTTTTGGAAACATTGGCTTTGAGCCTGCGTTATTTAGATACGTATGAGTGTTTTCCGCTACAAAAACAGGCGGTATGATATGGTTTTGTCAGAAAACGTAGCCATGAAACCCACATTTATATTTATCATAGGCTTGTAAACATTATATGTGTGTATATGTCTCGCAATGAGTCTACCAGTTACCGTCAAACAACCATCTCTCCAGTAGAAAGCTCTTTAGGCTGAGTTCACTGGAAAACCAAAAGGAACAGTTCTAGTAATAGTAATAAACGTCCACTCACAAGGACAACAAAGATGACAAAGAACAGAAATTAAATTTTGAATTCTCATGTCAAAGGGTATTGAGGAGGAATCTAAGAATAATTGCGGCAAATTGTATTTGCAATTCAATTTGTATTGTTATATGCCTGTTAACAGCTGCGGAGAATCACCACGGGTTTTATTCTAGTACCACATCTGACATGCATCGTTAACTTTGCAGTCAATTTTTGACAAACGAGTTAATTTCCGCCTTTTATAACTGAAATCCTTACTTTCCAGTAAATGTCTACCCTATGGCGTTTCAGTAAGATTAGAACATGGAGCGTTTCACCCAATAAGCTATCAATTAGGTCGTCACACATCGAGTCTGTTTCAATAATTAGACCCAGAGGTATTTACATTAAGTAATTAATTAACGCTTGGGGTCACATTACACTCATGCATGCTAAGGGAAATTAAAGAGGTTACTCGACATTCCCGATGGAACTAAAGCCAAATCGTCCATAGTCCATTAGAAGGCCTCATAGTAAATGGACGTAGTTATGTGGAAAGCACAACCTCTCAATATTGGTCCGCTCCTTGTAACATTAACTTGAGAAGTCGAACAACTTCACTCTGTCGACCTGAAGCGAACCATAACTCGCTCGACTTTAGCTGGGATGTTCAGAAGTCATTTTGACAAGCACTTCTTCTTAAAGTACATGCCATGCATTTGTGGGTGATGTAGAGACTCGAATGATGTGACAAAAACAAATCACTTGATCGATCTTCCAGACGAAAAACTCGGAAGAAGCTCACTCTATTCCACGTCTTTAACTAGCATGCCAGCAATGCTTCTATTGTTCCCTTTGGCAGACCATCCACATATCGCCTTTGTTTAAAGTTACGCCCCCAAGCGAGCTGGAACGCTTTCACACCTGTCGTGGCTCGTTTGGTTCGCTCAGCCTGTATATTCTACATTCTCCGCAGTCGGTAGCTGCTTCCAGTTTCACTGTAAAATATACTCATGGACAATGTGATGGAACTCAGAAGTTCTTCTATACTTTTGGGTGAACATATCCAACTGCAGATCATATAATCGTGCATGTATATCTCCTGTCCTTTACACGTTTATACTGAGGCCGTTAATGTTGCATATATACGATATTAGTTAATACGAACATCCACATGACCATTCGTAAACCCGCGGTTTCGTAGATGGGTGGATTCTTGAGTGAAAGAGACCATTGAGCAGTTACATTTTATGTCCTGTTCATATCGAACACAAAGTCTCGGATTGATTGCCATATTTGAGACTGTAACCCGTCACTGAATTATATATGTACCATTTCCTCTAATCTGTATGTGTCAAAGGTATAAAAGCCAGCCGCATTGAACCTCAGGAACGTCATTACTGCATTTACAAGATTCACGATGGCGTAACGTGGCATGAAACATCATTGAACTGCAATACGTCATTAAGTTGTGTGCAGAGTACGTCATGGATATCAGTTTCGTTTTCAAATCATAGAACTGGACATACTACCTTTATTAAGAACATGACATCATCCTGAACATGCGGTGTGTCTTTGGATATGTAGAATTGTAAACTTGACACTGCCATCAGGTAAGAGAGGGAGGTCAAATAATTGAATACGTGTATGCATCTTGTGTTATCTGTCTGTATTAATATTAACTAGTGGTGGAAATGATATAAATGGATAACCGACAGTTTCACACCTGAAACCTGAATCTTATTGTGTATCTTAATGTGTGTATATAAAAGTCATGTTGAAAATCACTGTGCGCCTCCGAAAAATGACTGAAACTCAACAGGTTGCATCCATGAATTCAGTATATATATGTTATTTGTATGTATGTTTTTGTGAGAATATCCCTAAACACGTAGTAATGAAGAAATAGCTAAACAATATTAATAAGATAACGGTAATCAGAATTGAGAGAAATTCAGAATACATACGGTATATGATCACATCCGTTTGATATCCATTTCAGATTTTGTCATCAAACGGATGTTAATGTAAGTGGAGGAAGGAAACATTTCCACTCTTGTGGGTGAAATGTTTTGTCACTCCCATTTCAACAGTTTTGTACAAGAACTTGTACTCACATTTCAACTCTTATAGGTAAACAGGTTGTGTAAGTACATGCCGCTCCCATTTCAACAGTTGTGTGTACATGCACGCCTCTCCCAGTTGTTACGACGAGTTATACACATTTCAGCTACCATTTAACTGACTGTATTTATTATCTCCCATGTCCCAGGGTTGTCATTTTTCTACCTCTGTATCCCTCATTTGGGCAAACTGGGGTGCGCTGCCACTGAGCACCTGCCTCGTACGTTGTGGGAAATGTACGCTATCATTTGTAACGTTTGACATTTTCTTCGCGAACTTCGGAGGCGTGCATTAATTTGTATACCTACCGAAATCTCAGTGTCTAGATCACCTGAAAATATGTTAAATGGCCATCATGTACGTATTACTTCACAACATGTATGATGCATAGTATAATGAATAGAGCTGAACACGGTTTTTAGGAAGTCATCTTTGACGAATACAATGTGTATGCTGTCGTGTATATTATTAGAACGTAACTTTGACGTTACTTACATAGTTTCTTTCGCAGGTTTGGTTTATTTAAAAAACGTGTTTGAATGGACCCAGCTAATGGCTAGCTACAACGACACGGTGTGTCCCCGAGCAGACTGACGAAAGCCTAGGTATATTTGAGATTTTCCCTGCATGGAACACATGTCACGTGATTGACCTCGTGGTGACTCACGTGATGTCGTCTACAGATACTACATACACTAGATATGTTTGTATATATTTGATATGTAGATGTTCCATTTTAAGAGAAACATACAGTTTCTTTATGTAATAAAGTCAGTGATTTTTCGAAAAACGTTCTTGTTTTTCTTTCGGGAAGGCGTGTGAAATATGCTGAAGTGCTGGTGTTCTACATCGTGTTCATGCATGGTGGAGTGAGGGATGGAGGTTTCTGCCGTCTAGTGGACATCAAACTGGAACGACTTTCGACCCGACAGCCCACTTTCCATCGACTGAGATGTGGTCCCCCAAAAACCTATGCTGGTCGTGAGATACGACCAAATGACCCGGGTGGACGGGCTTGGTGGGTTATCTGTCACGGTACACCAACGGCGTGGACGGGCTTGGTAGATTATCTGTTATGGTACACCAACGGCGTGGACGGGCTTGGTGGGTTATCTGTCATGGTACACCAACGGCGTGGACGGGCTTGGTGGGTTATCTGTCATGGTACACCAACGGCGTGGACGGGCTTGGTGGATTATCTGTCACGGTACACCAACGGCGTGGACGGGCTTGGTGGGTTATCTGTCACGGTACACCAACGGCGTGGACGGGCTTGGTGGATTATCTGTCACGGTACACCAACGGCGTGGACGGGCTTGGTGGGTTATCTGTCATGGTACACCAACGGCGTGGACGGGCTTGGTGGATTATCTGTCACGGTACACCAACGGCGTGGACGGGCTTGGTGGGTTATCTGTCACGGTACACCAACGGCGTGGACGGGCTTGGTGGGTTATCTGTCACGGTACACCAACGGCGTGGACGGGCTTGGTAGATTATCTGTCATGGTACACCAACGGCGTGGACGGGCATGGTTATCTGTCATGGTACACCAACGGCGTGGACGGGCATGGTGGGTTATCTGTCATGGTACACCAACGGCGTGGACGGGCTTGGTGGGTTATCTGTCATGGTACACCAACGGTGTGGATCACTGCTCATGAAATCAATCTGCAAATTGTCTGGACCAGATTCAAATATTTACAGACCACCGTCATGTAACTTGAATCGCTGGAGTGCTGTGTGAAAACAAGGAAATATACAGATGATAACAAGTCACAGCCAAGATAAAACACAAACCTCTTCCTGCCAGAGATTCATAAAATTATAACAAATAATCAACAACAATTTCACCCCCGCAACCTCTCAGAACCATGTCCTCCTTGAAGAACAGAGAACTTGTATTGGGAGTTACCCAACTTGGTTTCCTTCGCTATGTTAATCCGCTCACTTGGCATCATGTGTGACTCTAAGTAATATAATAACAGAGTTGATGACTAAAGGTGTGATTAAATATGATATCTCGAAACTACACAATGCAAACAATGGTCTGGATCCCATTGGCGTTGAACCAGTTTTGACAGGAGTGCTAAATATGAAGTGTGCTGTGTTCGTTAATAAAGACAATATCATAGCATCACTGGTCTCTCTGAGCGGGATATAATTTGCCATGGAGCAAGTGTTCCCCGTTAGAGCGTGTGTTGTGTCTGGGGTAGCGGTTTTCCTCAATGCTGCACATTCCTCGCTAAAGGTTGGGGATAAGCGGTATGCTGATAACTACAGGGATATGCTTTGAAATCAGCGCTTTCATTTTCCCTTGGATCAATTTCCACAGGGATTCCGTGCCACCATATTTATCCCCAGCCCTTTCAAAGTACCAAAACATCAAATTAGACAGATAAAAACAAATTACAATTTTCTGAAAGCCGAAAAGTAGCCTCCGTGTAGGTTTTGGAGGTATCTCTGAACTATAAGACGCATCTAGAGTATTTGTCTTTAGCACAAACTGGAACTCAACTCCAGTAACGTTCCAGATTTGCTATCTCAGAGAACAGTTACAGCATGTTTTCACAATCTATGCAAACAAAC